TTACAATGTCATACAACAAATCAACTTGATTAAAAAAAAGTGTTGGGAATAATTTTTTTATGTTAAATTGAAGTTTTCTTTTCTTATTTATATTTTTTGTTTTTTAATACATTTAAATTTTTCTTTAAAAAACAAAATCCAGGGGCACTGCCCCCAAACCCCCATCACTAAATGTGCAGACATAAATAATATTTTCTGGGTCCGCCACTGAATATCAAATTTGTTGGTGCTGGATAAAAAAACGGCAACTCCAACAATTTCTTTGTCCCCAACGCCGCTCAATTTCCTGGAATTAGTCACTTCAACAGTCTTCGATGGTTATATGGATATCCAAAATACGAACGAGATGGATGTTTGTTGCCCTAACCATTCTTGGTAGTTCCGATCACATAAGAAAAAGGAGAGAGATTTTTTTTTTACAAAGTTTTCGTGTTGTTGATTCCTAAACGTAGTGCTTCTTCCTCCGAGCTGCCAATTGGTACTAATGGAGTAGGGTTGGGCTAACTCCATAGGTATAGGTATAACCTTTCGCTTAATACTATAAACTTAAAATTGAAGCATATCAGGCTGCATTAATCGGGGATACGCGACAGAGGGAATTCATCGTTTTATTTACAAATGTCACCCTCAGCAAACGTAGGTTTTTTTTTCAATTTTTTTCTTCCTCTCCGAAGAATGTTTCTTTCTCCTACGACTGAGGTTGGTAAAACAAAAAAAGAATCAAATCGCATCATCTCTATAATAAGTGAACGCCTCTTTTTCTCCCGAGGTTGTCAGAATTATTTGTAATAAGATATTGCCGCACCTTTATCAAATTCATCGATGTTACTGACCCAATGTTTCAAGTAACAACGGATACTGCTATTCAAACTTTCTTTCATGTGGAAGAAAGGGTAGGCAAGGAACGAAAATATTCCTATATCCATGTCTATGATATAGGAATGGTATAAAGTTCTCGTATCAAAACCCTATTCTTTTAGTTAGGTTTAAGTCTGACGAGAATAATATTCTACAACTAACAATTCATTTATTTGCAAACCAACCCATTTACCATCTATTATTTGATTGACTAATCCCTTATATTGGAATGGGTGAAGAGTCAAATGATTTGGCAATTCCGCACGGGGGGTTGAATCGAGATAATTTTGAATCAGAGTTCTAGATTTTTGTTCATCCCTTGATGTAATAATATCTCGAGGTTTGCAACGATAACTTGGTATATCTACTATACGACCATTGACTAAAACATGTCCGTGGTTAACTAATTGACGGGCTTGGGGAATAGTCGAAGCCATACCCAATCGAAAAAGTATGTTATCCAAGCGCATTTCAATTTAAGCAATTGTCGTTCTGTAAGACCATAATGAAAACGTAATTTTTGTTTTTCTTCTAAACGAATACGATATTGAGATTTTTTACCGGAGCGCGATTGGTTTTTAAATATAGGAATCGGCATTTAATGAATTCAACAGTTCAGGCATCATTCTCATAATTGAAATAAGAAATCATCCGAATCCTAATGAGGTCCCAATCTCAAAGAAAAAGGGGATATGGCGAAATTGGTAGACGCTACGGACTTAATTGGATTGAGCCTTGGTATGGAAACTTACCAAGTGAAAACTTTCAAATTCAGAGAAACCCCGGAATTCACAATGGACAATCCTGAGCCAAATCCCGTTTTCCGAAAACAAAGAAAAGCTCAGAAAGCGATGATAGGTGCAGAGACTCAATGGAAGCTGTTCTAACAATTCAAGGTTGAACAAAAATAGAATATTCATTCATTAAATCATTCACTCCATCCTAGTCTGATAGATCTTTTGAAGAACTGATTAATCAAATGAGAATAAAGATAGAGTCCCATCCTACATGTCAATACCGACAACAATGAAATTTCTAGTAAGAGGAAAATCCGTCGACTTTCGAAATCGTGAGGGTTCAAGTCCCTCTATCCCCAAAATGCCTGTTCTACTCTCTAATTCTAATTATCCTATATCCTTTTTTTTTTATTCGTTATGTGTCTTATTCAGTCTATTTGGATATGAGTGGAGTTTTTATTTTTCTTACACAATCACAAGTCTTGGAATATATGAAATATATTTGGAATATGGAGTTCAATATATACGATAGATGTAGAATTCGTTTTCTATATTTCTATATGAGAAATGTACAAATAAACATCTTATCTTTGAGCAAGGAATCCTCATATAAATGATTAACAATACATAAGAATTACTATAATTATATTAAAACTGACAAAGTCTTTTTTTTCGTGTTTTTTTAGTTAACATAGATTAAAGTAATCAAATAAAATGAGTATGATGCGTCAAGAATGGTCGGGATAGCTCAGCTGGTAGAGCAGAGGACTGAAAATCAACGTGTCACCAGTTCAAATCTGGTTCCTGGCACATAATTTGTTTGTATGAGTATCTATTCCCAATATTCATTTGAATAAATATAAATTTTGGAAATAGATACATATTTCTTTTTTTATTAGTGGTTTTGGGAACTTGGAAAATTACCGACCAACTTTGAATTAAGAGACATTTTATATTGTCTTTGCAATCAAAATCTATATTTTGACTTGATCTATATTTGTCTTTGCAATCAAAATCTTTGTTTGATCAACTGATTTTGCATTACCTATTATACTTCAACATAAAAATTTATAGAAAAAAAGGAGGAAAGTTGTTTCTCAACATTTCCGTCTTGCACTTCAACAATTTCTGTCGTAGGAGATGTTTTATTGCTGCAGATGACAACTCATTAGACCCAATAATAGACAATGGCCCAAGAAGATTTTGCTCATTTAGTTTCCAAGTTCCAAAAAGAACCCCAAACGGCGCATGCTAAAGAGCTCAAGCAACAAAAATTCAAAAAACCTCGACGGAAATATCTTTAGGTGGTGTTTGGTTGGGAGCTTTTCAGCGGATATCTATCTTTTTCAAGTATGGCTTTTAGAAATACCAGGTTTGTTTCAACATTTTTCACCAAAAACTCATCTATCCAATTTGTCTGGATTTATGATAAACATAGATATTCGCACTGTTTAGAACCTCAATTTGAAGGTGAGATTTTTCAGAAAACCGGTTATCTGGCTTTTAATGCACTGTTGATTTCATAAAGTTACCTAATTTTCCCAGTAAAATTTTTTCCCACCAAACAACTTTTTTTTACATTTTTCTACCTATCTCACTTTATCTATCTTTCCAATCATTTTTTTATCTATCTCATTTCCCTACTATTCCAAAAAAATTTCATGAACCAAACCCCCTAACTGTTTCATATATTTCTCCAATAAAAATAAAACACCAGCATTGACGTTATAATATGTCAGCCCAGAGAAGAAGAAGAAGAGAGAAACACAAAGACAATCATTAACAACTGCCTTATTAAATACCGACGTCTCCTTTTAAATAGTTATAGTACCCATTACTATATGCTCCCCCCTAATACTAAAAATACTCTCGTATACAACACTTCTGCGGCCATGATGCCTCAAATGACTATTTTGCTAGATTTTAAAAAAAATGTATCGTATCATTTTTTAAGTATATATTAATATGTCTTTTTTTCACATTATATATTAATGTTCTCTTTTCTTTTCTTTTTTTGGTACATTAATGTTCTCTTTTCACGTTTTGTATTAATATATCCTTGTTTAATTAATGTTTGACTAATACTTACTCGAATAAATGGATAGATTAGTAAAAGATTAATATATGAATTGATACAATTTTGAAAAAGCAATAAATTGATATGCAAATAAGAAAAAAAAAATGGTAAATTGATTTAAAAATGAGACAAAATAGTCAATCGGCCGTAATTGAAGGCTAATATACTATAGAAAATCCTTGTCTTTTCTACGTCCTTCAGCTAATCTGATGAAAGAAAGAGTGCCAATGACGCCAACGATGAAGCTTGGAGGTTCTATTAAAGTAAGAGTGGTCCAAGGAGAAAGAGAAAACGAGGTAAAAAATCTCAAGATAAAAGGAAAGAGAAGGGATGGAACAGTGGAAATATGTTGTAAACTAGGTCACTCCCAGCTCAACTTCACCAGTTCAGAAGGCTGGGACATGACCCACGAAGATTAGAGATGGCCCACTTATTTTGACATCTATCAGCCCATGTAGAAACACTTCTAAATGAAGGATACAGACTGGTCCATTAGGCCTATATGACTACTCTAAAAAATTCTATAATTTCCATCTGTATTTTTCTTTAATCAGTTAATATTAACCAACGGGGTTGGCTCAAGTGGTAAGGTATTTGGGTTCGTTTAACCAAGGACTCGAGTTCGAGATCTTGTATATGCAGAAAATCCTCGCTGGGAGACTCACCTGCCAATGCTAGGTAACCTACCCGGGTCGGACTGGACGTAGTCGGGGCGAAGCCCCGGAAACCAGTGGAACAATCCAAAAAAAAAGATAAAGTAAAAAGAAATAGCAAAAGAGAGCAAGATGTATCTTAGAAGAAGGATTTTACAGAGAGAAAAAAAAAAGATTTTCCTTTTTTTTTGTTTTTGGATTAAGAATATGTGATATTAATAAAAATAAATAAGTACATCCAAAATCCTATGTCCCAAACATAGCCTTCTTTTTATCTTTAACATAAATTTAGAAGTTATAATTATATAATGAAACACACATGTTCTGAGCTTGAAAAAACAAGTTTAATTAAACTTGTAATGAGTTCAAATTAGATCATCAATAACTCAATTCATTATACTCCTAAGTACAATGAACCCGCACGACGTAGTTAGCTTACATAGTCGAGTAAAATGCAACAATATCCAACACAATGGAGCGCTAATCTCTTGACTCTCATACGTTACAATTTTTCATGAGATACCGATTTCTTGATTTATTAGATTATATTTTTTCTGGCTTAAGGTTTTACAAAAATGAACTGTGTTTGACAGGGGATGGTTGTAAAAACTATTTGATCATCATCATATAACTCTCCCCATAATGATTCTGCCAACCTCAGCAAAACAGAAAACAAACTGAAAATTTACTGCAATAAACTCATCTGTAAGTGTGGTATAGAACAAACATAGGCAAAAAAAAATTGGGAAATGGTTCATTTCCCAAGCCAGTTTACATCTATTCAGATAAGAACTTAAAAGGATCAAATCATGTCCCCGCATTCCTACGGCCAACACGAGCAACAAAACCAGCCTTGATTGGAGCAACTGATCTTCCTGATCCACACTGCAAATAACAAACCAGAATTGTAAGATATCCCAACAGTTGAAAATAATTTCCAAAAACATAATGATTTGATGTCATTTTATGATTCAGTCAAACATAAATGATTCAGTCATTTTATGTCATTTCTAAAATAATATAAACAATTAAAGACATGAAAGGAGAAGAAAAGGAAAATTACTTTGATCTCTCTTAAGATATGATGAATTTATAAGGACTTTCTCTCTAGTTTTGAAAATTACATATAATTCTTACGTGTGCTTTTCTCTTGGTAACGAAAAGCTGTAAGCAACGAGTGTGTATCTAAAAACTTAAGTACAAGGTATTTGTCAGATAAATTTTCAAACAATTGAAGGTGACGGAATTTTTTTAAACTATATGCAAGACTAGCGTAATTAATGTCATTAAACAACAATAGAAGACAATTTAATTTACCAGAAAAAAAAAGAAAAAGTTATAAAGAGAAACTGAACTAAAAATACATTAACATTAACATCACAATTATCCGAAACTAATTGGGATTAGCTATCAAAGAACCCAAATAAAAAGCAAAAGATTTAGTGAAACTGAACCAAAAATAATTGATCACAATTTAAACAAACTAATAACCAAAGACCTCAAAATGAATTACCAGAAAGGCAAAAATGAGAAACTTTCATCTTATTTGAGAGAGGAGAGAAGAATGGTGTAGGCTCACAGGTCACAGCCAAAAAGAGAGAGAAAGAGAAAGGGGTGATTGGCACATAGAAAATTCACCTTTTCACATCGAAGAAAGAATAAACGGTTCTCCTTAGAAAGGATTGTGTCGGGACTTTTGCATCCAATGCAAATGACATACTCATCTGGAAAAAAAGGATATTGGTCAACTTTTACAATGAAGGCTTTGTAGTTCAAAGCCGGCAATTCAACAACCACAAGATACATCACCAAAGGAAGCATCAAACAAATCGAAATCACTTGAATTTATTACAAAATTGATACTAGGAAATAGGAATGATATAATGCTACGCTAAATGTAAGAACAAATACTTACTGATATATCGTCGCAGAATTCCTTCAAAGTTCTTTGGTGCAAATCTTCCCTTCACAACCAATCTCTGTTGTCCATCTAGAGAGCCACTTGTACCCAGTTCAGCAAGCAAGAAAGCCATGACATGGTCTGGCTGCCGATGCATCCTAAAAGATTGAGTAGCAATACATTAACCAAAGGAGAGGATGGAAAAAGGAAAAACTTGCCAAGAGGAATTACACATATAGCCAACAGGTGAATAAAATATCAACATACGTTTTGCATAAATCCATAAAATTCACAAAAACAGTTTTCTTTGTGCCCTCCCGTAGAACTTGTGGAGGCCTCATAACAGTCCTCCGACGGTCTCCGGCAAGTTCTGGATTATTCTCGCGTAGAATGTTAAACACTCTGCCAAGAAGCTGCACAGAAAAATATCACAAAACAGGGGAGGTAAAAAGCATTCTCCAAGCAGAAAATATTACAATATTACAGATGAAATCAGAAGACATTGAAAAATTTCTCAATCAAGAAGAAGCAAAACCAGAGTAAAGCAAAAAATGCTCTAGGTAATTTTTAATGGATCTATAGGACCATGTCAACAAACCAATCCTCATTAAACCCCGATTACACCCCGACTAGCAAAACTAAGGGTGAAGGAAATCTTTTTACGCAACCTTGTCATTGCATATTTGCAAAGAGGTTGTTTCGTGAATTTTAACCCATGACCTTTCTATCATAAAGGAAAGGCTTTACCACTGCTCGAGGCTCACTCTCTTGACCCATATCAACAATACAAAGAAAATTCAATACACATGATATTGATATAAGGTCACACAAAAAAGGGAGATCTTGATTCAACAAGGATACATCACCCTTAAATGCAGAATATATAAAATCAGAAGTACAGGTAAGGTGGATGTCCGATCATTAACTAACATGGTTGCATATTAAAAAATCTGGAGCACATAAAAGATTCTAAAATAAAAGCCCATTTGAGGATCCTAAACACAGCCAATAAAACTAATATGGTAACATAAAAGGGGAGATCCACAAGAAACACAATCCTAATATTCAGAATCACAGATAAAAAGAAAATTCAGTTCAGAAACATTTATATAACTAGTTGAAGAAGATAAGAGCATTAGAAAATAATTTTACAATTATATTTTAATGGATAAGCATAGTATAGCAGAAATCATGTATCATAGTATATACCTCCTCATATTCAAAATCACGGTCACTCCCTTCCCAAGGATAACGGGGCTGCAAGGAAATGTCATCTCCTTCATCTTCTTCAGCATGATCTAAGCAAATAATTTATCAAATCTTCAGCATTCAATTAACTTCCCTTAAGAGATTATTTGTAAAAAAGGGCAGTACATAAAAGGTCAGACATTTAACTTTCATGCTTTCAACCGACTGCTTACCATCCAAATCTTCAATTGCATCTTCACCCTCATCGTTTAAGTTACTGATTTCAACCTACAATCAAAAACCAACATCAGATGTGAACCTGCTTCCAATTCCAAATAAAATAATTAGCTAAATCAAACGCTTAACCTATTGAAAGAAAAAAATTGTTCATTAATATAGCCACATTAAGAAGTCAAATGACTTACAGGCTTCTTCTTCTTCTTTTTTAAACCAGAAAATGAACTCTCAACTCCATCAGAGACTGCAATTCAAAATCTAATTAGAATCAACCATGAATCGGCACAAATATAAATGCCTCAGACAATAGCATTAAAGAAAAAACTATTTAAAAAATAGCTTATTTCAAGTCACATACCAGACAGATTTTCTGTCTTCTCTGCCAACTTGTCCACTGAATCATCAGCTGGATCCACAATTGTGGCTTTCTTTTTCTTCTTCTTCTTTGTAGGATCAAAGGGTGCAATCTGCCATTAAGAAATTCAGGCATTAGAAGGTAGTACAGCTCCAACACACTGAAGTACCACTACCAACTAATCAAGTGGTTGTCTGGAGACTTATCAAAACCAGCCATTAAATGTTATCATCAAAAATAATAATTTACAGAATATAGCTTTAAACCTAGTGAAGCATGTATAGGGAAAAAACATTGCATAAAATAACAAAAACAAAATTCAGGGATGAAAGATTACCTCGGTGACCTCCTCCTTCAGATCATTTTGTGCTTCATCTGCCATGATTACTGAAACCCAAGTAAAACCGAATTAGCAAATCAGAGGATTCAGAAGAAATCATTTTATTTTATGTTCCGAAAAAAAAAAAGTAGCTAGAGTAGAAGAATGATGAAGATTAAGGCAAATAACAATAAACTGAACTAATAATCAAAATTAAGAAACTGCAGCTAAAAAAGAACCATTGTAGTCCAACCCATAATACTGTTATTCTTATAAATAGAAGTCCCAACTCAAGTGCTCTTAATCAATAAGACTAAGAGAAACCCTAAGTTAAAACCCAATAATAACAATAATACGAAAAAAAATGTTAGAAGTTAAAACCCTGAGAGAAACCCAAGGTTCGATTAACAATAAAAAAACAAGATGTCAACTTTTTACGCTTAAAAAACATGGGAAATTTTTTTTCAAACAAGAAGAACGTTATCAAACTCTGCATTAGTAGCACATGGAAACACATGATCAGAAATTAAACAAATGACAGATGCATGCGGATAAAACGAAACAAACATCGAACAGGGTTACACAAAAGAAGGGGGCTTCGATTTTGAACTTTGAGAATAAAAAGGAGGCATCAATTGAATACGAAGTTCATCGATCAAAAGAGAAAAGAAACCTGAGAGAGAGCGCGAGAATCTATCAACTACTACTGCTGAGTATGCTCTTCGAATCAAAATCAAAACCCCTTTCTTTCTTGCTTCAAAACTGTGCGTTTCGGGTGCAGGTTTTATTTTTTGGAGGTTACAAGGAATTGAACACAACACCCTACACTACACACACTCCTAACACACACACCCCACACCACTAAGCTAACCCTAGTGGTGCAGGTGCAGGTGCAGGTTTTATTAGCATGGACAGCTACTGGTGTAAATACCTTTTTTTTTTTTTTGATAACAGGTGTAAATACCTTTTGCTTAAATAGGTTAGATTTATATAAAATATTTTGTGTTAATTTTGTGTGAGTTTAAATTATAAGTTTGATATGATTTATATTTAAAAATAAAAATTTTGACGTAGATATTAACTTGTTTAAGCTTATTAAATTTTAATAATTAAAATATAATTAAAATAATATTATTTTATTATTCAAAATCATTAGGGATGTATATTAAATTAGGATTTTAAATCATTAGTGTGAAATAGCATTCACTATGAAGCAAAAGGCAGAATCAATAATCAATGAAAATAGGAGCAATAAAATGTTATGTTTAGTGCCCCAAATTAAAATAAATATATTTTAGTGAATGCTATATATAAGATAGAAAAAGTATGAAGAAAAATAAAATGCACACACACAAGACATAAGTCTTTACATGATTTGTAATGTGTGCTATATGCTTACTCCACGGGCAAAGTGCACCAGTATCCACCAATTGAAGTAGAGTACAAAGGTGGAAACTCCTCAAACCTCAACCCCAATGGACCCAATAATCCTCACAATATAATATACATAATTGGGTATCAAGAAAAACATGAGAAAAGGTTTTTATCTCACACACTGCGTTCAACCAAAATGAATTCAGAGCAAATTCTAATTTGTAAATCTGGAAGCTGTACGATTGCAGTGGGGCAGCATGTCAATAAATGCAAGATATGCGTAAAACAAGGGAATTCATGGAGGCAATGAAAAGATGTGAATCCTTCTCAAAATATCTTATTTTAGTCGACAAAAGGGTCTGCAGTTTCTTGCTTTTTACTTGTTCATTTATTTTATCATTGCTTTGATATTATAACAAGTGCTGGCAGCATACATCATCTCCATTTTCCGACATGATACAACAAGTAAAATGAATTAGAAAAAAATAAAATAAGATAAGAGATCTGCATACTCTCACTGGCAGGAGTTAACAGAGCCAAACCAATTGTTGACAGAAATTCTAGAAGCAAAAGAGAATTGATCATAGAATCAAGAAGCACAGCAGCAGCAGATGGTGATCAAAAAGAAAGAACAAGACTTTGCACAAGTTGTATCTGTATATGCCCAAAAGAACAGGAATAATGTAGCTAGTTGCTGTATATGCATGCACATCTTAGTCCATCAAACAGTTACTCTATGTCCCTCTCTCACACATTAACTCTTATATCATTATAACATGTCCAAAACTGACAGAATTACTAAATTGTAAAACCTTTTCCTCAATCCAGGAAAATTAGCAACTAGTTTCTACTTAGGGATTGGTGTGGTAGGTCCAGTTCAAGAATTGTGAATACAGAAGAATATCATACCACTTAGACAATTATTGAGGAAAAATAGATGAATATGCATTAATCAAAGCAAGGACAAAGGACTTACATGTCATTTATGCAAAAATTATACTTTATCAAAACAAAACAAAATTGTTTATATTGATTCCTTATAATAAGTAAGCATCTTTTTTACAGAAACTATTTTCTACTTCTAGTATAGCCCCAAATTCAATATTTTATACTCCTGGTGTTACCCCAAAGTTGATTTTATAAAATACTTAGACTAGTGTCATGAAACACACTCCACCAAGTAAGACTGCTATTTGATTTTTCTTCCACTTGTTTTTATATTTAAACTGGACAAACAGAGAAACCTCCCTTCAATAAAATAACTAAGACAAAAGGGGAAAATTTTTGACATAAAATATAAATGAACAAGCATGTTCATTGCTAGCTTATAATATCACACTTGCATAATTTTCTACTTGAAAAACCAGAGGCTGATTTTCTCACTTAATTTTTATGGTAATATCTCAAACAGCATCCGAAGGAAGTTATTTACAGCTTTCCATCCACACAAAAAACAACATACCCTAAAACAGAGCAGTTTCTAATCTCGAGTAAGGATAAGAAATTATAAACCAAAATGTCTTCACATAGATCAGATCAGTCCACGCATGTTTTTCCTGTGTAGATCCAGGAGCACGGGAAAACACCCTAATTGGATAACAAAACTGCACACTCAAACAAAGTCTTACAATCCAACCAAGCTTTTCATCAAACATTATGCAAGTTATTAAGCAAGCAAAAAAACAGGAGAGGGATAAATAGCACAACTCAAGCATTTTCACGAGTTGCAGTTCAATCCCAAACGTATTCACAGGTCATTGGAAATAAATGGGGGGCAAAATGGGGGGCAATACAGCACGGGAACCAAAAGACCTCAGCATCTCACACACACACACACACTCTCCATCATTCAAACCATACATCAAGCAGTTTGTGGACACACATTCTCCATGATTCAGACCATACACCACGATGGGCCAATTTACATGTTTTAAAAGGGATTACCAAACCAATAAAACAAAACCCATTTTGCACAAAATAGAGCAGTGACTATCACGATTTGCAAAAACAGAGTGTGCAGAGAAAAAGCAAATCAATCAATCATATCTTCTATGGAATCACAACGCATACAATATCGTGCAATCACAAATATAAAAAAGAATGAGAACGAACCTAAATCCGAGCTTGTGCAAAAGAAGGAGAACGAACCCTAATAAGGTGTTTGGTTACCGAGAAAGAGCACTCTCCGCCTTGCTAAAGAGTATGCATCATATACACGAGTATATGTAGCCACAAATAATACAGTGCATATTTGACACCTTAATTATCTTTTCCACAATAATCTTTTAGAGGAAGGATATATTATCACTAAAAAGGTTTATCATCCTTACAACTAATTTAATCTGATTTCTGTTAATCTAATGGTTATAATTTATTGAAAATTATTGGATCGCATTTATTAATAATCATTAATTCCTAATAAATTATAACCGTTAGATTGACAGAAATTAATGGTGATTAGGTTGGTTGTAAAGGTGGTAAACTTTTTTGATGGTAAGTATATCATGGCATTTTTAACTTGACTAAAATTAATAATTTTTAAAACTAAATCTAATATAAAAACAGAGTAAAAATAAAATAATCACTAGACTAATCTGAAATAGCAATGACTACGCTACTATTTTATTTTTAGACTTTTCTGAATTAATTTTGGATTCAATTGTTCTAAAAGATAGAAAGTAACGAGAAATCAATTTAAGAAGTGTTTTGTTTTTTATGTAAACAACTTTTAGAAAGAAAAAAACGATCAAATGCTAAAACAGAGAAAAGAAAATAAGTTGCTGAAAATGCTTAGAAAAATGGGTTGAGTTTTCGGTTCTCCTTCCCCACAATGCTTGAAAGAATGATTTGATTAACAAGTTGCTCATCCCAAAAATTCCCACTTAATGAAACTCACTTGTTAATTTTTAATCTCAAAAATTATTTTATCCAAAATCAACCACTAAAAGATAGCAAGTAATGAGAAATCAATTTAAGAAGTGTTTTGTTTTTGTTTTTTATGTAAACAACTTTTAGAAAGAAGAAAAAAATGATCAAATGCTAAAACTGAGAGAAGAAAATGAGTTGGTGAAAATGTTTAGAAAAATGGGTTGAGTTTTCGGTTCCCTTTCCCCACAATGCTTGAAAGAATGATTTGATTAACAAGTTGCTCATCCCAAAAATTCCCAGTTAATGGAACTCACTTGTCTTATATTCTAAGACAAACCCATTCCTTGGCAACCCCGCTGACGTGTCACTTCCTCCTTCAATTTCAGATTTGCATTCACACTACAAAAATTTAAAAACTTTCCTTCTTTGGTAAATTAGGGAATAAAAAAATAAAAAATATATATATTTTTGAATCAAAATCGATGGACACGATTTCGTATCTCAAATCAATGGTACAGATTTGTTATCAATTGTATTCGCAGACAGCTCATCTTAATTTTAATTTTGGAGTTCAAAATTTAAATTTGATTTTTGAAATCTGACAACTCATTTAATTTTGAGCTACTTTCTCCATTGGAATTGCTAAACATTTTAAAAGAAAAGGGTTCCTCTCTTTGTCTGTCTGGTTACTATTGAATTTGATTAGATTTGGGTGTGGAGAGAAAGATGGGTTCGGTGGTGAAGCACGTAATGCAATCCATAAAAAATGAGGGTTTCAGCGCTTTCCTCAGAGAGCTCAAGGATGAAGGCTTCCTGTTTGTCCCTTTCATTTTTCCCAATCCATTTTCCGATTTGTTTTCTTGCACTGCACCTTATATCCCTTCAAAATTCTGCAATTACTTATACATATTATTCAATTTCACGAATCTTATTGGCTTTTATTCTATGCGATTGCTTGGGGGAGATTTTGTTGCTCCTGTTCATTTTTCCTTTTTTTGCCTCTGACGCATATCAGCTGTTAAAACATACAGCCTCAAGGAATCAGCTTCTTCGTTCTCTCTTTGCGCAAAGTTAAAATTGTAGATTTAAAAAAATTAATTTTGTCAAGCTCTGTTTGCTTATATTTTTCGTGTATTACTGTTGTGCTTGCTGCAACTCATATGAAGGGGTTACAAGCTGGAGTGCACTTTGTGGGAGCATTATGTGGATGAGGTCCAATCTTTTTTGGCAAACAACAACACTCCTCATAACGTCATGATAGTCCAGCTACACAGGATAAAATGTTTTAGGGTATGATTTTAACAATCTTTTTTAACAAAATGTTATGCTTTTGTATTCTGTTTTATTTGCGTTTTTTATTTTTACCTTTTCAGTTTTTATTTGATATACTCAACTCGATAGGTAAGGTTGGGTTAACAAATACAAAATATACAACGAGGATTGTCATGGATTCGAAGATGCCAGAGATCGGTGAGTTCAAAAAACGGTGTGTTTGTTATTCTTGAACTCATTTGACAGATTATTCGGTTAATCATTTATGGTGTTATGAATTTTCTCTTTATAGTCTTTCGGCTGATGGTGTGGAAAATAGTTTGAGGATTTTGAGAAGTGGTACTGTAAGAACTGCCCAAAACATTGGGAAGATTATTATCCGAGGTAATATATTGTTCTTTGTTTTTAATTTGTCTTTAATCTGTATGCTTAATTTTTTTTTTCTAATATACAATTTTGCAAAACGATAGATTTAGTGTTCAGGTAAGAGTTGTGGATAACACAGATTCTGCATCATTTCTTCTGTTTGATCGCGACTGTGTGTCTTTGTTGGGGATGAGTGCCGGTGAATTGCGTGAGCTGCATTTCAAGAGGGTTTGTATTATCGTTGCTATGAGATATTGAAAATGTATATTTTGACGTAGAGTGCACTCTGTTCGCGCTGTAGTTGTTATATTTTTTTCCCTGTTTAATTGATCATCCTTTTTTTCTTTTTCTGTAGGGTGCGGATTTGTATCAATTTCCATACGAGTTAAATGTTCTGAACGAGAAGTCAATGTTGTTCAAGCTAAATATCAAGCAAAAGGATTTTTCAAGAGCAATAGTGAAGTGACGTTTTTTTGTTGGAGTTACATCTTGAAATGTTGAAATCGTTTTTTTAACTGACATTTATTAGATGTTCAAATCATTTTTATTAACCTACGAAATAATAATTTTCATTCAATTTTTTTTTCTTATTTTTAAAATTTAAAGTTTGAATTTTTATTAACCTTGATTCAGTGGAATTCAAAAAAATTCTGGATTTTCCAAAAAAATCACATTTATAGCTACTAATAACATCTCAACCTACGATTTCAATCTAAAAAAATAATAATTTTTATTCAAATTTTTGTTTCTTATTTTTAAAATTTAAAGTTTGGATTTTTATTAACCTTGATTCAGTGGAAAATTAAGTTAACCATTTTGTGGTGGCAGACAACTCATTCAATGTCCCAGTGATTTGTACATTGGAATTACTTAGCTCTTTTAAATGTTTTCTATGTTTGAATTACTCAGATCTTTTAAAATTCAAATTTTTAATTGATTTCAAATTTTGGATTCCAATTTTGAATTTTAAATTGTATTGGTGGGAAAACATTTGGAAAGTTTTTAGTGGCACACAGCTCATTTAATCTCTGACTGCTTTTATTTTGTTACTTGCCTTTATAAAAAGGAACATTTTTTTTTCTATGATCTTATATCTGTCTATTTTTTCATGGGTAATTGTTAGCCCTATTAATGTTGCATAAAAAAATATTAAAAAAATATTGCAAAATAACAAAATTATTTATATTGTAAAATCAATTCAAAATTTGGAAATAAATTAAATGGAAAATTATGTGAATAATTTTTTGTGGTAGACAACTCATTCAATGTCTCACTGCATTCTACATTGGAATTTCCAAATTAATAATAACTCAACTCTCCTAAATTTCAAATTTATGTTTAAATTTGAATTTTGAATTTGAATTTTGAACTTTGTAATGGTGAAAAAACTTTTGGAAATTTTTTGTGGCAGACAGTTCATTTATTAATGTCCCACTACTTTTTTTTGTATATTATAAGTAAAAAAGACCTCTACTTTTCTTTTGTTGAATATCCTACTATTTTTTGCATGAAAAATTGTTAGCCCTATTAATGCTGCATAAAAAAAACAAAAACATTAAAAAATGTTGTAAAATAACAAAATTATTTATATTGTAATTAATATAAGAAATTTGAAGAAAATTTAATATTTATGCAGTGGGAAAAGATATATATATACATATATATATAATAAATTTGAATTTAATATAAAATTATAGATTAAACAATAAAATATTTAAGATTATAAAAATACATTTATAGTCGATAAAATTATTTAAAATTTCAAATTTAAATGAAAAAAATAAGAAATGACATAATTTATAATTTACACAAAATAAATTTAAATTTTAACATAAATTTTTTAAATATACATGTATAACCAATTAAAAAAATGTACATGTATTTTTTAAAAAAATATTTAACATAAACATTTTAAATATAAATTTCAGTTAAAAAGTATATAAAAATCATAAATTAAAATATATATAAGAAAATATGTATAATTAATATAAATTAAATTTTAAATTTAAATAAAAAATGACGTCTGTCATTTTGTAAAAACAAATTATTAAAATTTAAGAACTATAAAAATGAAAATTTTAATTTAGTACATAAGAAAAAAATTAAAATTTCATTTTTTTATTGCAAGAGTGTAATTAACACAAATATTTGGAAAAAATAATTATTTATATAAAATGCTAACAGTTATAGGTGAAAAACTGGACTCGGCCCGGAGTGCTGGTCCGCCAATATATTTTTATAATTCAATTGAAATTTTATCATTCTTCTTTTACAATTAAATTACTAAATCTGATTTCAATTTTTGTAAATACAAATTTGTGAAATCCCAAATACTAACAACACTAATCCTTGCACAAAAACTATTTATATAAAATGCTGATAATTAGAGGTGAAAAATTGAGCTCGGCCCGAAGGGCCGGCCGCCAATATATTTTTATAATTCAATTGAAATTTTATCCTTCTTCTTTTATACTTAAATTACTAAATATGATTTCAATTTTTGTAAATATAAATTTGAGAAATTCCAAAGATTAACGACACTAATCCTTGCAAAAATAATAATTATTTATTATTATTTTATGAATCTGATTGTAGTAAATGAAAGTTCATCTCTGAGATAAAATATGAAAATCTAGAGACAACTATAAAAACGTTTTTGTGTGGATAAATATAAAAACCTTTTACATGCTGATAGTTAGAGGTTGCAAACTGGACTCGGCTCGAAAGACC